TAATATGGATGTCCCTCCCATGACGCATGAAACCCTTCAATATGGTATCCCATGATGCATGTTACCCCTCAATTAATATGGATGTCCCTCCCATGATGCATTTTGCTCTCATATTAGTATCCCATGATGCATTACATGAGGTGCATGACGTCATGTATTAAAACGTTAAGCTCACTGTCGATTCACTGTTTTTATTCAAAGGATCCTTATCAATTATCAACAAGCAATATTCCTTATGTTATTCGATTCAATTCCTTTTCGTCATCAAATGCACTATCAGTTTCCAATGTCAAAAATATTTTAATATTCATTTAAATTTTTCTAAGCATGGCGTACTCAGTGGTACGTCGAGAGATATCTTTAACAGTATTCCATGACCTCCTCTGTTCGACATCCCTCGATACAACACTCTTCGATGTAATCTGTTGGTCTTGAGGGCTCTCCACTTTCACCGCGCTTAAACTGTCTTCCTCGCAAAAAACTCCTTGCATTCAGACTCGTCTCTACTGGATTTGAAGCTAAAAGATAGAGTAATATACATCAAGAATAGCACTACGATCAGCAGTACGAACTCAATGGACTATATACAAGTTAAAAACTGGAAACTGAGGCCACGGGAAGTTCTTACACTAGCGCATTATACTTGCGTCTCGATGCACTTCGCAGTCTTAAGTGTAGTGGAGGACTTTACGGGCTGTCACGCAGCTTACAATGCCTCCAACAGGGATAGGCTGTTGGACCGGGAGACAATCCCTTACTCTTATGCAAGCATTTCAACAGGTTCTTTTATGTTACCCATTTAAGGAAGGGTTGGGTGACAGGGCTCACAGTTTAATGGCCTTTTCCGAGAAGACTTAAAAGTCTAACCACTTGCAGACGTAATCATAGAGAAAGCACCTTCTTCTCAATTATTTTGAGTCTGTCTTCCGTGGCTTTAGCCGACGACTTTCCGCACGAAAGCTAAGCGAGTGATGTATAATAATTCCGTACACAAAACCAATTCCTGCAAACGTAGAATATACTGATAGATTTTCTGAAAGCCCCTCCGTAGCGTTCTCTTCCCTAACCACTCCGATACCCGCCTCGTGCTGCGCGATCGCCTACAGGAAGCCTACAGTGAGATTGGAACACAAATTTCCCATGTGAGCTGGCGAGTGTATTGCAATAGAAGATTTCCAAGACGCGCGTACTCATATTCGAAAACAAGGCATTTTTGGGCAAGATCTTACGCGAGCTATACGCAACACATACAAAAACTTTGATATAATGTTATTAAAGGAATATATACTTTCAAGTTTCTTTTAGCTTAGGAGCAGGATTGTGACGTGTGATGATTTTGAAAGCATACAGCTCACTTCAGACAAAATCTTCATTTCAAGAGTTGTAGAAATAATCCTATAACTCTATATTTTCCAAACGTTTCTTATGAACAATGCCCAAAAATGTCCCGTTTAATTTCACAGCAGCCATATTAGTGTACAAAACAGTACATTTTCAGTTTTTATTGTTTGGTACGTACACCAATATGGCTGCTTTGTCATGCGAATGAAAAACCCTCTATTGGCGCAATTCAAGGAAGTCTACCATTACACATAAAATGTTACTAAAGTAACGCATGCGCAGAATAGGTACTAGTGGCCGCTTACCATCAATAATTGACTTGCGCACTATTACACCACATTCTCTCATTAACATTTGATAGAAGTCGGATTTTGAAATACAAAACTTAAAGTCGATTTTTTTACAGTAGACGATGGTTAGGCAACAGACGAGGAAAAGACACAGCGTTAAAACACGTTCAGATGCCATTATGAAGTGGATGGAAATCACCCTGGAAGAAAGTCTGAAAGAGAAAAGAAAAAACACCTTTCAAAATCAATATTTTAACGAATCCTAAGACAGACTATGGGCTGATAGCCAAAGTCAGAGCATGGCTAAGACTCACAGATTGCGCAAATTTGCAACAATAATCTCTGGGCTGATTAACATCAGGGCACAGCTAACTCACAGATCGAACCCTGAAACAACCTCTGGGCTGATCTAAGTCAGAGAGCACGGCTAACTCACAGATAGAACCCTGAAACAACCTCTGGTCTGCTCTAAATCATGGCATGGCTAACTCACAGATAGAACCCTGAAACAACCTCTGGTCTGCTCTAAGTCAGGGCACGGCTAACTCACAGATAGAACCCTGAAACAACCTCTGGGCTGATCAAAGTGAGGGCATGGCTAACTCATAGATTAAACCCTTAAACAACCTCCGGGCTGATCAAAGTGAGGGCATGGCTAACTCATAGATTAAACCCCTGAAACAACCTCTGGGCTGATCTAAGTCAGGGCAAGGCTAACTCACAGATTAAATCTTAGAAAAGATATCAATAGGAAACTAGATGATAAAGGAAAATCCAGTTCTAGATTCCGATCGGATTCGAAAAGCGAGACATATACACACTTCAATACACATGAATCCAAGGGATTATTCTTTCAAGGATTAATACAAATAATAGTCTATCTGTCTAGCAGTGTACAATCCGCCCTGTCTGAGGTTTATTATGTTCTACTACTACACTCAATCTAGAAAAGTCCAACCTTAACCCGATCTGACTCTGATGTGTCAATCCGTTTCAAGATGGAAAAGGTAAAGATAGATTGTTAAGGTTCTTTCTAAACTACTTGTCTAGCGCTCAATGCATGCCAAGGGCAGCCATAATCGCGCGGAGCCTTTTACTAAGATGCACTATTATGGGCTCCGATCCCTATTATGGCATTTCAAAGCTGCAGGTGTCCATTCGCAGGTAAAGTTTAAGCAAACGGATCAGATAGTGAAATCAAACTCCCGCTCTTTCAGGGTAACTTTCAGTGTATGCCGGAAGCAATAGTCAGCATTTAACCGGCCGGTCAAGCTAGCTATTGACCCTTACAGTGAATAACACCACTAGTGGAAATACATTGTGGCACGTCGTCAATGACCGTATGACTATATGAAGCTGTAGCAAAGGTATACAGTAAGTAGCCAACACCCTAAGACTAATGCAGACTCAAGACACCTAGGGTGCCATCATATATCATACATCATGCATTGGACAAGCCAAAAAAGATCTTGTAAAGTATAACAACAATAAATTAAAACAATAAAACTCAGTACCTTAATAAATAGCGACGAAGAAAAATTCTGAATAGATACGTGGCTCAAAATGTAACTTCCTCAGTTTCTTTGGCTCGAAAGCAGAGCAATTCATGACGTATTTTTAAAGCAATACACTGCTCGTTAATTAATGAAACACTTGATTAACAAGATCACAAGGTCCTAAAGGACCAAAGTTAGCGACAATAATGAGCCAAAAAATTAAGGTTTTATTTGTTTCATTACCGGAAAGTAACTTTGATTGGATAGTAACTATTGTTTGAATAAGGCTTTGAGGGCATAGACTGCTGAGTTGACAAGCTGGAGGCGTAGTAATGATTCTGATTCCATATTAAACGGATTATAGGAATTAAATAAGGCTACTGTAAATAGTCACAGGATATCTTAACGTTTGGATTTGGGAAATTGTGAAAGAGGAAAAAAAAAAGACTCAGCATAAAGCGAATTTCCCCAAAATTTTATAATAGTGCTCTATCTGTTATCCGAGAAAATTGGTATCCGCGGGGTAAACATTCATCCATGATCCGGAGAATTCTTAAAGGGCTTCCTTTTTCCTTAATTAGTAAACTGAAAAGTGTTAGTACATCAAGATAAAAATTGTAAAAAGATGAAATTATCACCGGTTATTTTGAAAAGCTTTATTTACTTCGGCCTTGTTCCGATTTGAAATTAGATTTCACCCACTGGACGATACATGACTCAGTACTAGTCGATTCTTTAAGACGCACAACTGTCCAACGCCAAAATTTGATTGCCAAGATTTTATTCCTAATTGGTGAGCATCGTAGCCATAATAAAATAATTTCAAATGCGATAAATTAAACGTCTTCAGTAAGCCTTATGAAAAAATTATTGTTAACTACCGTGAAGCCGGAACTTCTCATGTTTATCAATCAGATACATATGGACTAAGAGGAGTCTCGCCTTAAAAAGAAATAGAGTACAAAAATCAGTATACGAATGAGTTAGATTTATAGGATTTAATGACCGTCCTTTTAGGGAAACCGTAATTACTGTTCCTAAGATTAAAAACTTGTGGGGGAATATCATTACAGATGGATCAAAATACTATAGGAAAGAGCGAGAGAGGTTCTTGTCACAGTCGATGATTGGTTTGCTTTGATGTTGCTACGACCAATTTATCAACTGTTTTATTTTTGCCTATATATATATATTTTTATAAATATATGTCATATTTTACCTGTAGCTTGGGTGCTGGTGCTTTTAGTTTGTGTATATATAAACTAAATAAGCCAAGTTCCAAATTTAGACAATGCTTGAACACTGTACTGAATGGAAGGATGGAACACCCATGAGTGGTCGAATTTAAAATTTCTTTCCGCGCGAAAATTTATTCAGCAGAATTAATGAACCCAATAAAAGTTCCTGATAAGAATGGAAATCACAAAAGTTTCGCTGCTCAATGAGAGCCTTAATAGTCGTTCGAGCCTGTAAACAGACTAGTAAGTTTATGATAAGATCACTAAATGTTAGAGCACCTGACTCATTCAACCGCTATTGAATAGACTCTGCCAGTGCTCGTATTCACATATATATGCATGTTTAAGCTAGAGTCGACGTTGTTAGTGAACCAAGAAAGATCTCGTCTTTGAAAAACGTAGTGACAAAGCACAGTCTAAACCCTTACCAAAACGAACTTCGTTGGTATAATTAAGAAAGTTGTGTTAATGTTGAGACACAATATTCAAAAACGAAAGTAGTTCACGAGCTTACAGTGTGTATAGAGGTAGCGACAGAAAGAAAAAAAAGAAGAAAGAAACGTAAAGAAAGTGTATTTGAAGAAATCCAGTACAATACACTAGGATGGTCAATATGGCGCGCCAGTATCAGTTCGATTCAATACCTTTGACGATTCAAGTACATCTACATTAAGTTAAACTGGGCATCAAAGCCAAGTTTAGCTTGTACTTACTTACTAATTGATCCAAATGACGTACTGTTATGTCTTAATCCTATAAATCCAATAGGTGCTGTGAAGAAACTGAATGTATTACTATCGCTGAGTGAGTAAAATCCTGTCTGTGATGGAGAATCTACTAGTGCGACAACGAAACGTGAACTTGATATTACAGTCATTCATATATTGTCGATGATATTCAAGATAATGGTGAAACTCAAGAATGCGAACTTATGCCAAAGAATTTAAAGCACACAAGCTGAAAACTGAATCTCTAAACAAACTATGCGTACCTTTTCTCTGAAGTAGCTTCGAAGCGTTTAGTTTAGTTTACTTTATTGCTGTGCTCTCTTATGCTGATGAAAGTTGGAGTAATCGCCAGTCTGCGTCAGTCTAAAGGGCTATGATACGAGAGAAAGCTGTTTTAAAATAGTATCATTCACTGGCGGTATGTATTTTTAATCGAAAGTTCAACAAGACAAAAGGGGAGAGTAGGAGCCGTGATGACGTACACAAGCTCTCATCCGCCAATCAAAACACTTGACGTTGTGAAACAAATTCTAAATGAAAAAAACGAGAATTGTAAATATTTTGGAAGAGAACAATCCAAGTATTTTGGTCAGTGGGCGTCGGGAGACTATAGGCCGTTGTTTCGACTGTAAGTATGATTCCAACGAGTGTGGTCTGTTATCGCTAATGAAGAGAGAGATAAGACTCGTTGAGTTAAATTAAGATGGTTTAAAAGGTTCACACTATTGGCAGTAGGTGTCAAATGGTTGGTACAGAGTTGCTAACTTGAATTTTTTATGCAGTCGACATTTCCCTTTGTCATAAAGCATTTCCCTTTGTCGTGCAACTGCAAATTAAAATGTTTTTGTCCAAGCGAAAATGACATTAATAGTTAAGGACTCCAGTCTTGATCTGATCTCGTTCATCACGAAGACTGGATGTGAATAACCTATGATATATTTTTTTCTCGTTTTTATGGTAAATTTGGTGTATTTTTGAAGCCTGACTTCAATTTCAAGTTAAAAAACATCTCAAAGATTCCTCCAGAACAGGAAGTAGCTCCTTACGTTCCCTATTTAGCTCATAATGTTGCTCGCCAGTTATTTTGGGGCGAAAATCCCAATACCTGCGTTTGTGGGTGGAAAGAATGGCTTGTTAAAGTAAATCGGCATCATTGACAAAAGAACTTTCTTGAGAAACAAAAAAGGTACTGTGTTTTTAATGGTTTGAAATGTGTAGTGCTTTGCAAATAAAAAGCTGTCAAAAATTCGATTGCATAAAAAATTTAAACTATTATTGTTAAGATGTTCAATGTACAGGTTTTTTTAAAAAGCTATTTATAGAAGGCCAATTTTTGTGTTAACCGTTGTTTGAAATGAAAGTCTTTTTTGACACAGAAGTTTGACTCCGCCAGCCCAGTCGTCGATGAGTTGTGTTAGAGATGACAGTTATGTTGACAGTTAAGCAAAAGAAAACCGTCGAAAGAAAGGAAATATCAAAGACTAGCCATAGTAACACACGTACTGTAATATCAAGGAAAAAGATGCCTCATTAATGACAGACAAAAGGCTAAAGCTCTCCGTAAAAGGTTAGCTATTAGGGGTCCAGATGCTGAATGAATGGAACATGAGGTCAAAAGGGGTCCAGATACTGAATGAATGGTTCATGAGGTCAAAAGGGGTCCAGATACTGAATGAATGGAACATGAGGTCAAAGGGGTCCAGATACTGAATGATGGAACATGAGGTCAAAGGGGGTCCAGATACTGAATGAATGGAACATGAGGTCAAAGGGGGTCCAGATACTGAATGAATGGAACATGANATGGAACATGAGGTCAAAGGGGGTCCAGATACTGAATGAATGGAACATGAGGTCAAAGGGGGTCCAGATACTGAATGAATGGAACATGAAGTCAAAGGGGGTCAAGATACTGAATGAATATGGAACATGAGGTCAAAGGGGATCAAGAGACTAAATGTAATAGTGTCATTGCGGTCATTACTTGATTGTAGTATACAATGCTAGCTTTGTGTTTTATGACGAAATCGTATTCAATTTTTAAACCTAGAAATACCCAAAGCCGTTAAGTCACCGCGGAAATGGAAGCAAAACTTGTGTCTCTAAATCGAGACCATTTCCAATTTAAAATCTTAATACGGCTACTCTTTGACAGTGAAGCCAGTCGACTGGAAGACTGGTCGGGCCTTTTAGTAGGAATTACTATTCAGTAAAAGGTAAAAGTACCAAGAGATAACTAGCTAAAAGCTAGTGTGAGCTGCGTCGGTGTTTCTAATGAAGCAGTAATGATAAAAGGGTAAATTTTACACTGTGAAAAGATGAAAAAACTTACTGACGTTTCGGACGTTAGTCCTTCGTCGGAGTAAAAGAGCAAATAGTAAAAATATCAATTTAATTGACGGCTGTACAAAAATAGACGTTATTAAAAAAAAAAAGTTAACAACATCCTAATGTACCGGAGATAATCTAAATGAGCGAGACGAATATTGTGTAAAAAAGTACATTTAAATAAAACATAAAAACACGTCTTTGTTTTTACTAGCGTAACACTTAATAGCCACTGGTTAACAAACCTGATGCTCTCGTTGAATGATCGCATTAGAATTTAGAAGTTGAATTAGTTTTTGCCCCCCCCCCCCCCCCCGGGGGGGGGGGGGGAGGGGTACTCCCCTATATTTGCTATATGGGTACGTGCCGCCAAACAGGGTATGGTTTTCAGCATTTCTACTCTGGAACAGGGTATATAAAATCGCGCTCGCACTGGAACAATGTATATGAAATCACGCTCTTTCCTCTCTGGAACAGGGTTTTCAGCGATCTTGCTCTGGAAAAGGGTCAGGGTTCAGAGGGCTCAGCGGCACATCCCTACCCTAAAAAGGCAAGAGTACCCCCCCCCCCCGGGTTATTGCCGCTTTTTGTGTACGTGACAGAAGGATAGTCGGAAGAAATAAATAAACGTTTTCCCCATCATGTAGAAGTAATATCTATTATACTGAACATAATATTGCCGGAATTAATAATGGTGTTTTGATCTTTAAACATTAGCGAAATCATAAACAAATATGTAGAAAAGTCTTGATGGTAAATTGACGTGCAATTGACAGATAAATTAATTGATTTGTAAAGAAAGTAAACGAAATGAACAAAACAAACTTCTACCGACATGTGGACTATCGTATGGTCATCATGATGATTATTTGTCATAAAATCAATCATTTAATTCTTTATTTTTCGTCTTCGTGTTCGCCTTTCGTTTCTTTTTGTAATTCGTTTTTCCTTATTTCCTTTCTCTTTATTTCTTTCTTTCTTTCTTTCTTTC